ACAAATTATCCATTAAGTATTGTAGGCGTATTTCAGCAGTGGATCACCGCGATTTCGAGCTATTTAGAGAATAAATTCGGTGGGACGGAATAAAAAATCGTCTTCAAGGCGCTTTTTCTGTAAACTGTGGGAAGGGAACAGTGAACACCTATAATTGGACCATTTGCAGTAATAAGCATGGCTAACGAGCAGAGGAGTCGACTTTGTTTTGAACTTTTTGTTAGTAACAATAAATAAGAGATCTCACAGCTCGGGGAATTGGTGTTGAGAATTGATGCAAGCTAGAAGAAAGATAAGTAGTCTACCAGCAAACGAGGGGATTAAGTTACCGCAGTCTGTCAAATCCTCTGTTAAACTCTCCTTGCCTCACACTTCATGTGATGTACAGTCGCCCTTTTCCTGGCAGCTTTGAAACCTTGTGCATTTAGAGTGATTTCAAAGGGCTTAATGAACGACAATACTGTTAAAATGTTTTTTCCTGTGTCTACCAAGAACCAGGTCTTGGTAGACACTTTGGTAACCCTCAATGTCACAAAAAAAAAACACTGACCCGCCATATGTACGATCATGATAAGTAAAAACTAGTTGAAAAGGGAAACTTCGATAAACGAAAATTGCCTAACTTGGCTCTGAGACTTTGGGGAATAAAACAGAGTAAATAATTTATTCATCCCCAAGGCGGGATTTGATTTCTTTGTTTTATTCCCCAAAGCTTCAGTCGCAGGGGTACTGTTACCATTATGACGTCATAAGTTATCGATGCCAACCAGCCTTATTCTTGAGTTATTCTTAGGTTCCTCTGGCTGTGAAAGAGGCTATAAAAATGAGCGTTAAATCGCTACAGGTGGGAATATTTGTTTTGTTTCTAGTTCTCGTTGTTGAGCTGTACCACGTTCAAATGCAAATTGATTTGAGGGAGTCGACTTCTCACTTCTGTTACAATCCGAACAGAATGGGAAAGCATAAACGAACTGACAATCGCCTTTTTGAATGATATTTCTTTAATGGATAAAACTGCCCTCAATATTAGTGGGCATTAGCACCTTGTGCGTACAAAATACAAAACAAAGGATATTAATCTTCTCTAACGTGTGATAAATGCGTTGTTCTCTGAACTATACAATAAATTAATACACTCGACACAGGTATTTTGTTCCACTCGTCAGTGTGACAATGACATCTCAACCCTCACGGAGACGTTTTGTCTGATTTCTCCAAGCCTTGATGTGGTTTCACTGAACCACACGATCAGATTTTCAACTTAATTTACAAGACAAGGTATGAACAATGCCCAGAATTTTCTTCATTTCAAAGTATCATTTTGAAAACAAGGCACTTAGTATACGTGGCTTACATACGTCTACATACGTGGCTTACACTAGCTGCTCATTGTGCAACACATAACATATAGACATAACAAAAAAAAGCGCAGTTCCCACACCGCAGTTCCCACAAGCAATCCAAGATTATATCCAGTTTAGTTAACACACATGCATTTATAGCGACGCATCCATTTCATTAATTATATTGGATTGTCTGCGACGTTCTGAGAGATTTAAAACGATAAAAAATATTTTTAAACGGTAGTCTTTTGAAACGACCTACTGCGCCAGGAAGAAAAAATACAAAACGATCTCGCTAAAAATACGTTATACTGAGAAGTTTATACGTTATTTCTGAACGTTTCTAATGCTATAGGGCCTCTGAAAAGAAATCCTATACAAAATTGATTATGACGAACTTCTAAATCGCAAAAGAAGGTGTCTGCTTAGTAAACTTAGCAGATCCAAAACTGGCCAAAAGAACAACTACACGGCCCTTTCACGTTAGGAGAGAAATCCTTTATGGAAAATGAATAAAAAACCGTTCAATTTATTTTAAATTGACGCTTTCTCAAAAACTGCTTTCTCCAATGAACAGTGTTCGGTCATTTCGTCAAGTTTCGTCGACCACCTTTGCTCGAAGCTGTTCAACGTCCTTTGCACACGTTGCTCTTCCTGGTCAGCCTTCTGTGTCGCTTGTTCCACGGTACAATCGCCTTGACGATGTACCTGACAGTCTTCTTGCCCTGTTTTTTGTCAACTATTATCAAATATGCCTCATCTATTTTCACTCTCGATGTCAAGTTTCGGCAGCGGTGTTTTGGTATCAACGCGCGGTCAAGACTGTCCGTGACTTTCTTGCCGGCTTTCCGTGAGTTCCGCGTTAACCTCTGCTTGCCTGATTTCTTGTGCCTCTTGAATCTGAGCAACGCAAACGAACCTTTCGCTTCACGGATACTCGTTACGTCTGCTCTGAAGGCTGCAATGCAAAAACAAATTGCAGTGTCAGTCGACGAGAAAGAAGAAACTTCTATGCGAACATTTACACTCTTAGTCTAATCGTTCAGAGATTGAAATGACAGAAGTTATGACGTGCGCGATACTACAAGTCAGCGGCTATCCTTCAGAACAGCTGTATAATAAAAATAATAATAATGGTGATGATGATGATGATGACGATGATGATATAGCCGTGTTATTATATGTGATATAAGCTTATTCGGTCAAAATGGCTGGATATTGGCCAGGTTTAGAGACCGAGACAAAGTCGAAGTCCATAAACGCACAAAAATGGCCGTGACCGACATATGCTCATCTTGACCGAACAAGCCTGGTCAAAAAGGATGTATTTGATTGCGCACTGGGCAACATTTTCTTGCAGGATATATCGGGCAGTCTTACTCTGCGCTTGGGTAGCCAATCGTAGTGCAGGATTTGGTTCATCTTGTCCGCTCGCCGAGTGTGCCATGTGGTGTTCTATCGAGAGAATTCATATGGTCCAGGCAAAGCAGTTTAGACCGAGGCGCTTAAAATCAAGAAGGTATCCCCAATATAATGGCGAAGCCATAAACACTATTTGCACGATTTCAAGACTGCATCGGGTGAGAGAATTTCCACTTCCCCTAAGTGGCACCTTGGTCTACAGTCTGGTTACCCACTGGACATTTTCGAGAGAGACAACTAGGGTAAAGAATGATGCCCTAAGCACAACACACATTGACGCCGTCTCGCTTATAATTAGGCCACTACGCCACAGAGCGACGAGGAAACAGAATATCAAAACAGACCTGTCTCTTAAGGTTTCTCAACCGTCGCAAGCAAGGAAGCCATGCAAACACTAAGAAACCAAAATGTGTTGAACTAGTGGTGCTTGTGCTTGTTTTTTCAGTGCTTTACCAGCATCTTGTGCTTACATTTGGGATTGTGTTGCTGGTGAAAGACAGGTGAGCTGCATCAAGACTCCTCCAAATATGGGAAAGCGATTTGCCCTTTTGGGCAGAAGGCGTTGATTGGACTTCAACTCAGACCAGACGGTGTGATTCACAACGAAAACACAGTCTGTTTTCCCTATGCCACGACTTTTTTTTTGTTATTATTGCAGTAAACTGAGCCACCCATGATTGTGTTAATGATCGATTTTTGGCAAAATAAAGAGTTATTAAATGGATATTGTGTTATCGAAAAGAAAGCACAAAAAAACATTTATCAAAGGAGAGTTACTCCGCATCTATTGACAGCAATAACTAATTGATCGAGCGAACAGACATGTAGGCCACTAACCCTTTAAAAAAAAATTTTAATTAAATAACTTTGTCGATCTTGTGAAAAAAAATGTTTGTCTTCTGCGTAGTTTCTAGATGTTTTGACAACTCCTTCTCTCGTTGGCCTCTTGAACCTCGCAACCTGATGAATCTGTCAACCTTCATCACCCTCATTTTTCAAACGTTTAAATTTCATATCATGGATAGCACCGTGTAAATTAAAACATGGGTTGGTCAAAATCTGCATGACTATAAATTGTTTGCATGTGTTATCACACGTGAAAGAATATTTCTCGATATCTGTTCTGCTCTGCTTATCAGTCGGAGTACTTTGAGGTCGGCTGGAACTATTGCCTGACTCGCCCTTATCGTTGTCTTAAAGACACCGAATCACTTTGACCACTGTTTATCTTAAACGGGTCGACTGCAAAGGACTTCAACAGGAAGATATCGCGCCGATCGATAAGAAACGGGAGGTTCTGTGTTCAAAAGCCTGGTAAACTGCTTAATACCGTAACCAACGTCTCCAAACAAACCTCTAGCAAGCTAATTAGTGAACAAGCCGAATTTTTGTAAACTACAGTAGTTTACACGAGCAACTGCAGGATTTCATATTTTTACCTCTCCGTCTAATTGTTCCATTTAGAGCAGTACGAAAAAGATACATTACGCAATGTCCTAAGTACAAGACTGAAAGAGGAGTCGTCGGATTTTTTCCTCCGAAGGCTATCCAACAGTAGACTTTGACCTTGAGTTTTCCTTTCTGAGCGAATAACCAACAAGACGAAAGCTAGAATTGTTAAAAGAAGTAATGAGCTACAATGAAGCTCTTTGTACTAGGCCAAATTTTTTTCACTCTCGGCAAGTTAGATTCGAGGCCAATCTGGTTTTCATTCTGCAAGAAAACTCCTTCGTATTTTGGTTATTCGCGCACAGAAAGGGCTACCACAGTTTTGAAACGCCGGCGCTTTCCCGTTTTCTCGATCAGACATTCAAGCCAGCTTTCACATAGCGTGTTACAAAGCCTGCCAAGTTGACAGACATGTAATAAATACGCTCATTAGTAATAAATGCCGTTTACCTATACTAATGACTTTTCTATCATTGCTCCTTTTCGGCGTGTATGAAGTACATAGTCAAAACACATTATGATAAAAGTTGTGCCGCACAAAAATCTCTCTTTCACCTTGCAAATTTAACCTAGCCCTCGAGGTTTATTTTCATGTGTTTACTTCGAGGCGCATTTTCATTGCCCAGCCCTAATTATATTGTAAGACATCTGAAAGAAAGGACTCTCTTGTCATGATAATCACGCGTATTGGTTTGCAAAGAATCGTAAATGTGTGCGAAACTCAAACAACAATTGCGCCAGTAGGACAAAGTGTATTATAATGGCTGATTTGTCAGACTGAAATGAAAATTAGAATGTTCAAAATGGTTGTAATTCGCAGGGTTGAACGATCGCAAAACGGGACAGTCCCAGCCTTATAACATAGACGCACATTTGGTGGTCTAAAGATTTGCATTGGCGTCAAAAATGTGCCAACATTTGTACGCTTGTTGACACCTCTTCAAAGGTTTGAGGCGAGAAATTGTCCATCCCTACCCACGCGCGACAATCCAATTGTGTCAATGTCTCCCGGGGATAAAATAAAACGCATTTTGGCAAAAAGAGATGTACTCACGTCCTGGCGAGAACCGTTTCTTAGATATGTAAAGGATGTAAACACTTGATGGCTATGTAACGAGAGAATCAGAGTTGGTACCGTTTTCCTCAGTGTATTTTAGCGGACAGACACATTGAAACCGCAAAAGGGTGATTCTTCAGTTCAATCAGACTCTGTATACGCTTGCGCAAATAAAAAAAAAAAAAGTACGATGGTGTTTTAAGCGGGTCTTACCTAAATGGCTGTTACAGGCTTTCGCACGTAGGACATCATCGCTATTTAACTTCGGGTTACAAGCCACGTCGGTATCTGGAGCAAAATGGAAAATAAAGAATTGTTTGTTAGTAACTGCTTGTCAGTAAGAAAATGGCGAACCACATTCCTCTAGGTTAACTATCCCTCGCGCCCTTTCCGTAGGAAATGTCTGAAATTATAAATAGCACAACTTTACCAGCGAATTCGCGGAGCATAAGGGCATAGTCGCGCACGACAACAAGCGCTGTATAAACAAAATGTCAAGATTATTCAACGTTTTGTCGAGCAAAATTTAAAAATACGAAGTTTATCTAACTGAAAATACAAGGTCTATCTACTGCCCGGCCCAAGCTATAATGCTTTTATCGTCTTCGCCTTATTAAAAGACACGTTAAACTGCAAATTAAGCTGTGAACACTAATGTGATCTAATCACTCCTTTAGTAGCGTACCTGTGAGCACCACTGGCGGTCGTGTTGTGGGAGCAACAACAAAGTCTTCTCGGACACACATCAAGTCGTCCTTGTACTGCGAACAATTGAAGGCATCGTGAGTTGGCCAGGAGTAATTGTAACTGTTCATCACGGGCTCGCAGCTCGCCTTCACTCTGGAGCAGAACGATCTACAGAGTTTAATGATCACTTCTTTGCCGCTTTCTTTGTCGTGGAGGCAAATCGGAGCGTAAATGGCACAGAGAAACAACTTCAGTCCTGCATGACACTGTCCAACGAGAAGTTGCCATGGCTTGATGGCCTCGACAGTTTCATTGAGTTGGTAGTTGTTGAACNAAAAAAACACTGACCCGCCATATGTACGATCATGATAAGTAAAAACTAGTTGAAAAGGGAAACTTCGATAAACGAAAATTGCCTAACTTGGCTCTGAGACTTTGGGGAATAAAACAGAGTAAATAATTTATTCATCCCCAAGGCGGGATTTGATTTCTTTGTTTTATTCCCCAAAGCTTCAGTCGCAGGGGTACTGTTACCATTATGACGTCATAAGTTATCGATGCCAACCAGCCTTATTCTTGAGTTATTCTTAGGTTCCTCTGGCTGTGAAAGAGGCTATAAAAATGAGCGTTAAATCGCTACAGGTGGGAATATTTGTTTTGTTTCTAGTTCTCGTTGTTGAGCTGTACCACGTTCAAATGCAAATTGATTTGAGGGAGTCGACTTCTCACTTCTGTTACAATCCGAACAGAATGGGAAAGCATAAACGAACTGACAATCGCCTTTTTGAATGATATTTCTTTAATGGATAAAACTGCCCTCAATATTAGTGGGCATTAGCACCTTGTGCGTACAAAATACAAAACAAAGGATATTAATCTTCTCTAACGTGTGATAAATGCGTTGTTCTCTGAACTATACAATAAATTAATACACTCGACACAGGTATTTTGTTCCACTCGTCAGTGTGACAATGACATCTCAACCCTCACGGAGACGTTTTGTCTGATTTCTCCAAGCCTTGATGTGGTTTCACTGAACCACACGATCAGATTTTCAACTTAATTTACAAGACAAGGTATGAACAATGCCCAGAATTTTCTTCATTTCAAAGTATCATTTTGAAAACAAGGCACTTAGTATACGTGGCTTACATACGTCTACATACGTGGCTTACACTAGCTGCTCATTGTGCAACACATAACATATAGACATAACAAAAAAAAGCGCAGTTCCCACACCGCAGTTCCCACAAGCAATCCAAGATTATATCCAGTTTAGTTAACACACATGCATTTATAGCGACGCATCCATTTCATTAATTATATTGGATTGTCTGCGACGTTCTGAGAGATTTAAAACGATAAAAAATATTTTTAAACGGTAGTCTTTTGAAACGACCTACTGCGCCAGGAAGAAAAAATACAAAACGATCTCGCTAAAAATACGTTATACTGAGAAGTTTATACGTTATTTCTGAACGTTTCTAATGCTATAGGGCCTCTGAAAAGAAATCCTATACAAAATTGATTATGACGAACTTCTAAATCGCAAAAGAAGGTGTCTGCTTAGTAAACTTAGCAGATCCAAAACTGGCCAAAAGAACAACTACACGGCCCTTTCACGTTAGGAGAGAAATCCTTTATGGAAAATGAATAAAAAACCGTTCAATTTATTTTAAATTGACGCTTTCTCAAAAACTGCTTTCTCCAATGAACAGTGTTCGGTCATTTCGTCAAGTTTCGTCGACCACCTTTGCTCGAAGCTGTTCAACGTCCTTTGCACACGTTGCTCTTCCTGGTCAGCCTTCTGTGTCGCTTGTTCCACGGTACAATCGCCTTGACGATGTACCTGACAGTCTTCTTGCCCTGTTTTTTGTCAACTATTATCAAATATGCCTCATCTATTTTCACTCTCGATGTCAAGTTTCGGCAGCGGTGTTTTGGTATCAACGCGCGGTCAAGACTGTCCGTGACTTTCTTGCCGGCTTTCCGTGAGTTCCGCGTTAACCTCTGCTTGCCTGATTTCTTGTGCCTCTTGAATCTGAGCAACGCAAACGAACCTTTCGCTTCACGGATACTCGTTACGTCTGCTCTGAAGGCTGCAATGCAAAAACAAATTGCAGTGTCAGTCGACGAGAAAGAAGAAACTTCTATGCGAACATTTACACTCTTAGTCTAATCGTTCAGAGATTGAAATGACAGAAGTTATGACGTGCGCGATACTACAAGTCAGCGGCTATCCTTCAGAACAGCTGTATAATAAAAATAATAATAATGGTGATGATGATGATGATGATGATGATGATGATGAAGATGATGATATAGCCGTGTTATTATATGTGATATAAGCTTATTCGGTCAAAATGGCTGGATATTGGCCAGGTTTAGAGACCGAGACAAAGTCGAAGTCCATAAACGCACAAAAATGGCCGTGACCGACATATGCTCATCTTGACCGAACAAGCCTGGTCAAAAAGGATGTATTTGATTGCGCACTGGGCAACATTTTCTTGCAGGATATATCGGGCAGTCTTACTCTGCGCTTGGGTAGCCAATCGTAGTGCAGGATTTGGTTCATCTTGTCCGCTCGCCGAGTGTGCCATGTGGTGTTCTATCGAGAGAATTCATATGGTCCAGGCAAAGCAGTTTAGACCGAGGCGCTTAAAATCAAGAAGGTATCCCCAATATAATGGCGAAGCCATAAACACTATTTGCACGATTTCAAGACTGCATCGGGTGAGAGAATTTCCACTTCCCCTAAGTGGCACCTTGGTCTACAGTCTGGTTACCCACTGGACATTTTCGAGAGAGACAACTAGGGTAAAGAATGATGCCCTAAGCACAACACACATTGACGCCGTCTCGCTTATAATTAGGCCACTACGCCACAGAGCGACGAGGAAACAGAATATCAAAACAGACCTGTCTCTTAAGGTTTCTCAACCGTCGCAAGCAAGGAAGCCATGCAAACACTAAGAAACCAAAATGTGTTGAACTAGTGGTGCTTGTGCTTGTTTTTTCAGTGCTTTACCAGCATCTTGTGCTTACATTTGGGATTGTGTTGCTGGTGAAAGACAGGTGAGCTGCATCAAGACTCCTCCAAATATGGGAAAGCGATTTGCCCTTTTGGGCAGAAGGCGTTGATTGGACTTCAACTCAGACCAGACGGTGTGATTCACAACGAAAACACAGTCTGTTTTCCCTATGCCACGACTTTTTTTTTGTTATTATTGCAGTAAACTGAGCCACCCATGATTGTGTTAATGATCGATTTTTGGCAAAATAAAGAGTTATTAAATGGATATTGTGTTATCGAAAAGAAAGCACAAAAAAACATTTATCAAAGGAGAGTTACTCCGCATCTATTGACAGCAATAACTAATTGATCGAGCGAACAGACATGTAGGCCACTAACCCTTTAAAAAAAAATTTTAATTAAATAACTTTGTCGATCTTGTGAAAAAAAATGTTTGTCTTCTGCGTAGTTTCTAGATGTTTTGACAACTCCTTCTCTCGTTGGCCTCTTGAACCTCGCAACCTGATGAATCTGTCAACCTTCATCACCCTCATTTTTCAAACGTTTAAATTTCATATCATGGATAGCACCGTGTAAATTAAAACATGGGTTGGTCAAAATCTGCATGACTATAAATTGTTTGCATGTGTTATCACACGTGAAAGAATATTTCTCGATATCTGTTCTGCTCTGCTTATCAGTCGGAGTACTTTGAGGTCGGCTGGAACTATTGCCTGACTCGCCCTTATCGTTGTCTTAAAGACACCGAATCACTTTGACCACTGTTTATCTTAAACGGGTCGACTGCAAAGGACTTCAACAGGAAGATATCGCGCCGATCGATAAGAAACGGGAGGTTCTGTGTTCAAAAGCCTGGTAAACTGCTTAATACCGTAACCAACGTCTCCAAACAAACCTCTAGCAAGCTAATTAGTGAACAAGCCGAATTTTTGTAAACTACAGTAGTTTACACGAGCAACTGCAGGATTTCATATTTTTACCTCTCCGTCTAATTGTTCCATTTAGAGCAGTACGAAAAAGATACATTACGCAATGTCCTAAGTACAAGACTGAAAGAGGAGTCGTCGGATTTTTTCCTCCGAAGGCTATCCAACAGTAGACTTTGACCTTGAGTTTTCCTTTCTGAGCGAATAACCAACAAGACGAAAGCTAGAATTGTTAAAAGAAGTAATGAGCTACAATGAAGCTCTTTGTACTAGGCCAAATTTTTTTCACTCTCGGCAAGTTAGATTCGAGGCCAATCTGGTTTTCATTCTGCAAGAAAACTCCTTCGTATTTTGGTTATTCGCGCACAGAAAGGGCTACCACAGTTTTGAAACGCCGGCGCTTTCCCGTTTTCTCGATCAGACATTCAAGCCAGCTTTCACATAGCGTGTTACAAAGCCTGCCAAGTTGACAGACATGTAATAAATACGCTCATTAGTAATAAATGCCGTTTACCTATACTAATGACTTTTCTATCATTGCTCCTTTTCGGCGTGTATGAAGTACATAGTCAAAACACATTATGATAAAAGTTGTGCCGCACAAAAATCTCTCTTTCACCTTGCAAATTTAACCTAGCCCTCGAGGTTTATTTTCATGTGTTTACTTCGAGGCGCATTTTCATTGCCCAGCCCTAATTATATTGTAAGACATCTGAAAGAAAGGACTCTCTTGTCATGATAATCACGCGTATTGGTTTGCAAAGAATCGTAAATGTGTGCGAAACTCAAACAACAATTGCGCCAGTAGGACAAAGTGTATTATAATGGCTGATTTGTCAGACTGAAATGAAAATTAGAATGTTCAAAATGGTTGTAATTCGCAGGGTTGAACGATCGCAAAACGGGACAGTCCCAGCCTTATAACATAGACGCACATTTGGTGGTCTAAAGATTTGCATTGGCGTCAAAAATGTGCCAACATTTGTACGCTTGTTGACACCTCTTCAAAGGTTTGAGGCGAGAAATTGTCCATCCCTACCCACGCGCGACAATCCAATTGTGTCAATGTCTCCCGGGGATAAAATAAAACGCATTTTGGCAAAAAGAGATGTACTCACGTCCTGGCGAGAACCGTTTCTTAGATATGTAAAGGATGTAAACACTTGATGGCTATGTAACGAGAGAATCAGAGTTGGTACCGTTTTCCTCAGTGTATTTTAGCGGACAGACACATTGAAACCGCAAAAGGGTGATTCTTCAGTTCAATCAGACTCTGTATACGCTTGCGCAAATAAAAAAAAAAAAAGTACGATGGTGTTTTAAGCGGGTCTTACCTAAATGGCTGTTACAGGCTTTCGCACGTAGGACATCATCGCTATTTAACTTCGGGTTACAAGCCACGTCGGTATCTGGAGCAAAATGGAAAATAAAGAATTGTTTGTTAGTAACTGCTTGTCAGTAAGAAAATGGCGAACCACATTCCTCTAGGTTAACTATCCCTCGCGCCCTTTCCGTAGGAAATGTCTGAAATTATAAATAGCACAACTTTACCAGCGAATTCGCGGAGCATAAGGGCATAGTCGCGCACGACAACAAGCGCTGTATAAACAAAATGTCAAGATTATTCAACGTTTTGTCGAGCAAAATTTAAAAATACGAAGTTTATCTAACTGAAAATACAAGGTCTATCTACTGCCCGGCCCAAGCTATAATGCTTTTATCGTCTTCGCCTTATTAAAAGACACGTTAAACTGCAAATTAAGCTGTGAACACTAATGTGATCTAATCACTCCTTTAGTAGCGTACCTGTGAGCACCACTGGCGGTCGTGTTGTGGGAGCAACAACAAAGTCTTCTCGGACACACATCAAGTCGTCCTTGTACTGCGAACAATTGAAGGCATCGTGAGTTGGCCAGGAGTAATTGTAACTGTTCATCACGGGCTCGCAGCTCGCCTTCACTCTGGAGCAGAACGATCTACAGAGTTTAATGATCACTTCTTTGCCGCTTTCTTTGTCGTGGAGGCAAATCGGAGCGTAAATGGCACAGAGAAACAACTTCAGTCCTGCATGACACTGTCCAACGAGAAGTTGCCATGGCTTGATGGCCTCGACAGTTTCATTGAGTTGGTAGTTGTTGAACGCGTTTGGAAGGCGCATCAAAGCGTACCCATTCCCGTTCGTTAAATTCCTGCAAAACTGCGGCACCGGCTGGCAGTGTCCTCTGGTATAGCCTGTATAAGCCCGCGAAGTACAAACCACCAAGGAGACGATAACACACCTCAGAAGAAGCGACATGATTTGGAGTTCTTTCTACGTGCGACAAATCCGCGATCTTCCAGACGGAATCGTTCAGTCGTGTATTTTAATCAACGGCCAGTGGGCGGTGCTTCTGGGATATTGATCAAATTTCCAGCTTCTGAAAAGCACAAAAGCCACACTGTCAAACACTGAAGGCACGTGAAACATTTACGCGTGTCGTCCGTGCAAGTGCTGATATTGTTAATGAGCCTTTGTCTTGAAGCTCATTTAAAGCCCGTCAATCAGACCGTATTTTAGATCATGGAAAAAGCGCTTCAACGTTTGAATAAACTAGTGCAACCTTTCGAACTTTACATACCAATGAAAATTAATATTTCCACATCGTAAAGAGCGGTGCGGTGACATTCGATCGTATCAATTGCTGTAAACAATAGGGAAAATATGCATTTTTTTCGATATACGGAAAACACGAGGTCGCATTGCAATGATAAGTAGTTTCGTTTGGTCTGTTTTACTCATTGGAAGAAAGTTCCGGGCGTTCGTCCGCGGTCAAGCAATCTCTCGCTTCACTTCCCACGAAGATTAAGTGGATTATGAGCGAGTTAATGGTATTACCGATGTGTTGGGCTTTCACACCATTGAAGCTGACAAAATCTTAATGGCCAGCTTTTTGCATCTCTAATCCGGCAATCAACTCTACACAGACATTGACAATAGCTCGAACATAACAATGCCATTTGGCCGGCCTCTCTTGTGTAAAGCGTTTATTGTGCCACTTATTATTTAAACAAACAAAACTGATTAAGGTGCTTTTTAGCCTGAGCTAAATCTCTGTCGGGGTCGTCATCCGGCTTCTTGATTTCAGCCTGGCCGCAAACGGTCACCTAATTCAGCAGGTGAAACAAATCCCATTAGAGCAAAAAATGTGGGCCCCGCGCAAATCTGTGCATTAGCGGTTTGAGGGTTGTAAGGGACGTACCGGGTTTGAGGTTTGAGATTTGTAAAGGACCGGGTTTGCCGGTAAAATTGTGTTTCCTCACCAAGCCACCGCAAAAGACCACAAAATAGCTTCCATGCAAATAATTATGCGGCCTTGCACGTTCCACAAAATTGCATCTATCCCGTATTTTTTTCCCGTGAAATTTTGTCGAATCAGTATAAATCTTCCTGGCCAAGCCTAAGAGAATTTTACATGAGAATTTTGTAGTGTCGTGAATCAAAACTTAGTGGGCCTTATATGATAGTATAACCTATAACAGTGTAGCTTTTTCTGGAGACCTTCGAATTCCGTGTCTGGACTGTCGTATCGGCAGAATTCCGACGTTCACGAGCAATCCCCGTAGCTCGGTTGTCGTTCGTTGTCTGAGGCAGTGGTTGTCAAAAGGCCCAAGGACCAGCTTGCGTTTAGCCTCAGTTATAACATCTCACTGTATGTTTAAACGAGTGATTCAAGAGCAAACCTTACCACATTCCCTTTTTGCGTTTCTACATCTTACATTGGCTTGTTACAAGAGATTATGTTCTAGATTATAATCTCTTGCTTGTTACCATTCCAGAAAAAATGCAAGAACACGGAGCCTCATGTTCTTTTCTCGTTACAACTCTAGAGGAGAAACTGTTATCAGTTACAATCCCCGGAGTTGCGACATAAGCAGGGATGCTAACTAGGCGTCGGAACGAGTATCACCTCGATCAATTCAAATTTGTGCCCAAGCTTCAAAAACAAAATCTATGTTACAGCATTTCTGTTACTGTGGCTTCCGTCTGAACATGCATCTCTAAGTAATTTCGGTCATTTCCTCCAGGATACTGTGCAGTATGTAGACAACTTTAAGTGCTGTTTATTAACAAAAGCCGGGAAATGGTTGATCAGATAGCAGGACTATTAAATCATCAGTTTTAGTCTTGTTTTGGAACCGTGACAAAGCTCTCTGTTTCTAACTTTCCTGTTGTTGCTTTTTTGGGGCGACAGCTGAACTGCAACTCCTGAACTCTCCAATTAGACACCTGCCGAAGGAAACTATTACCTACAGGCGGACACTTCCCTGTTGAACTGAGCGATCCGAAGTTTGGACGAGAGAAATGGATTGCCTCGTGAAATACCGCTCGAGCCGCCTGCTGATTAACACGAAGAGAAAGTAGCTCTGGCGAAGAACACGTCGAGCGTAACACGCGGATAATTCTTTTCAGCTCTTGTCACGATGGTGGTTAGCTTATGGGTGAAAGAGGAAGGCTGTAATCTGTTGTTGTGTCTGAGGCGAGGGAAACCTCCAATACCGCAAAAGATTTGAGGTGGAAAGTGACACTTACTTTAAGTGGTTATTGCGGTTTCAAAAATGACTGCTATGTCTTTGCCCGAAGGACGGCGGCTCTCCCAACAACGCACCGAGTGAAACCGCCGGCGAAGAAATGAATGTCACATTGCACGTAACCCGTAGAACGTTACTTTAATCCGGCTGGCAAGGACTCAAAGTTCCGGCTGAACAAAGAAAAACCTGCGTTTGTCCGGCTTGAACATCCTGGGAGACAGCAAACTATGAAGATGTTCAGTGAATCAAGGCTGGCAATTCCTAACCTCAAAGACGGCAAATAGTTTTAGCATTTCCTTTACAACATAACTCTTTATTTTAAACAACTGGCGTTAACCCAAATTTGTTGAAAAGAAGAGTTTACAGCATTTGACGACTCAAGCAAAACTTATCAGACTATCAAGCATATTGTAGAAAGGAGACGCAGAAAAAAAAATCCTTAGCAGACTAACTACCTGGAGGAGAGAATATTTTTTAGGTTCCTATAACTTATAAATGTGCTTCTGCAGTGACAGAAATACTTTTTCGATCACACCCTCTCAGTCTCCACTGAAATGTCACAAAGGATGTCTTGTCAGTTAGTTTGTGCTTGAGAACCAGGTGCCAAGTACACTCTCGAGAATTTTATCCTTTTGTGCTCTTGCCAAACCGATATCGCGGAAAACGTGCAACATTATGCTCAGCGAACCGAGGTGAAACAAAACAGGTTGTACATGTCTATTTAGTTCAGAGAAAGGTACGCATACGAATTTAATGATTAAGTATAAAGTATTTGTGGGCTAACCAAAGAATGTATGTCTGAGAGAAGGGCTCACTACAAGAATTTGTTTTTCATGGAATCTGAAATCTAGAGTACTATTTCCGAAAAATTCAATAAACCTTATTGTGATGGCCCCATGGATTGTTTTTAGTTTAACGTTTGTTTTGACATTTCTAACAAAAGTAATACATGCTTCAAGGGGGCAGTGGATCTAATTTCAAAAGGGTTTTCGGAAAAAGTGATTAACAAGATCTGCACTTTACTCACTGCCTTTACATCGAAATTTCTTACCGAGGAAATAACTCAAGGCGGAAAAGAACATAACTTTCTGAGCTAATTAGAAGAGTTGGCACAGAGCGAACGCGCCGATTGTAACCACCAACATGCTCTGAAGAGGGGTTACTTGAAGTTTGAAATCACATCTATGTCCCTTCAGAGAGAAATCTGACTAGAAGGACCCACGGTCAGAGTATAAATAAGTTTATTAACTCGACGATGTGCACAGAACAGGTCCTTGAAGATACGACTGTCGACAGTTTTTAACCATGCTACTGAAGCGCTGGCCAACAACCAAAATGAAAGCGGCTTTTTTTTCTTCTAGTTTCAAGTTCTTCATTTTGTCAGAGGAAATTTCACTCATATTACTGTAGAGTATATGGACAGATTAATTACATAAGATAGTGTTGTGTTATTTGTAACTCTTGTTGTTGTTCTTATTTCCCGCGGAAAACCGCCGGACAAAATCTGTAATCTGTCAGAAAAATTAAGAAGTTTTCTGCGAACAATTTACCGCCAAAAAAACCGCCTCGTGCGCAATTCCACTCACGGCTACCGGCACGTGAGGGGAAATTTCGACTTTTATCGCTTATTGTTACGTGGCAAGTTCCACGAGTTAGTAAGATATAGCCAAATCCTGCACTGCAATTGGCTACCGGAGCGGGGATTAACCTCTGTTTCCATCTATCAAGAAAGTGGTGCCCAGTGATGCCCAGTAATAAATCATTTAATTTGGTAATTAAATCATTTAATTACCAAGGTTGTTCAGATTAACATGTCTGAATATTTGGCCTCGTTCTTTTTTACGTGTTTATGGACCTGGAAGATGTCTCGGTCCGTAAACACGTAAAAAGGATCTTGGCCGATATCCAGCCATCTTGACCTCACGCATGGTCAACAACCCGTCTTTATTTCACGATCTGAGAGACAAATTAAACAGTGTGAAAACTAGCAAACCTTTTACACTGCTACAAAATTGCCGCAGACTGTACCTCTAAAAGTCAAGGATAAAATTCAGCTTTTCCTTTTCCTGCAGTTTCCAGAGAACTCTAAGCTGAGATGGTCATGTTGGTTATTCTCGAAACACGCTGGTTAAATGTAGCACGAACCGATAATTGAGAAGTTGGATTTTGATCACTCTGACCGCGTGTAGTTGTCCCTCTTGTAAAACCTTTGTGAGGGGCAGTTGCGTTCCCAAACAAGAACATTAGCAAGAATGTGTTCCTTTCAGGCTGACTAATGACATAGGTCCCATACTTACGAAACTCCTTAAATTGACCCTATTTAAGTATTTTGCTTTTAAACGTTACCACTCCTGTTACTATCCATTTGAATTTATTCTCACCCAAAGATGAATTGAAATTATTTCTGAACAAAACAGTACACTTCTGAGTGCCTTACCTTGGGAGCAGCGCGAAACTGACGGAAAAATGGGAGAACGGGACGTCCGGTGAAGGCAAATAGTGGCTTCGGTAATATCGCATAACAGCTCATAATTGAATAAATGTTAATACCATAGACGTAAAAAAAAACGGCTAGAAAAGTTATTTCCTAAAATAGTAAGTAACCTTTGTTTTTAAGATGTGGAATTACAAATTCCGTAACAAGAGAAACAACGGCAATTTGTCAATCATCATACCAATGAAAGCTTTTTATGGAGAAAGAACAACAATTGTAAAATAACAAATTTTGCCACACCGTTTCCAATAATAATAATAATAATAATAATAATAATGATAATAATGATAATAATACCTATAACAAAATTCATCTATCTTTGACTATGAAAGATAATAAATTCTTTGAGGATAATGAGTTTCGTTTTGTCATCAAGGCACTCAATAGACTCTATATGCAGCTTTTGGACAGCTTGACGAAATTAAAATGAAAAAACCACCAGAGTTTCAGTTCAATTACGTTTTCAGACAGAGTGTGCTGGACTAATCTATGGGACTAACAAGATGGACAACTGCAAGGAACTGGAATTAAGATATTACTTCGACGGAAACTGTTAATTAGAAAATGAAACCTCGATAGTTATCACCGACAGAAAAAAAAGTAGGAAAAGAAATACGACTAGTCCGTATTTTAGCAATTTGATGTTCAGCTTTTTCCATCGAAACTACCAAGGAAGTATCTGTTGTCCTACATGGTTCATTGCTATAAACTTACCTTCACTCCGCCTTGAGTCAACCGACAAATTTGTCGAACGTTCTGAGCAACTGAAGAACGTATTCTAGCCACAGTGGGTTTAATAGGTGTGCTTAGCCAGACATTTAATTAATAAAGCTCATTATAATTAAGTCTCGGAACGTTCCCTCGAAAATGTTACTTTCAACACATCCGAAAAGGAAAGCTTTAAGTTAATAAACATTTCCATGTGATAAGCGACTTATTTCATAGTAAAGCTGTTAATTGCATAATTCTTTTAATGGTGTTTGTATTTCTCAGTTATTCTTGCTAAATGTCGCGAGGTTGATTCCCTTAAAAGCATAGAAGATTTTCTTGGCCGGCAAGTCTCAAAGGAAATTGGTAAAGAAAAAAGGTCTAAAGGGCAAGATAAAACACGCGAAAGAATCTCTGATAATCCAAAGTTGCGGAGACTATTTTAATTCAGGAAATGTAATGAGTTAAGTCAGGAACGTGACTAGTTCGATGGAAATTCCGATTAAGCTTTTGCTCTTTTTTGTTGTTTTAGTTTATTTTCGACAAAATCGTCTAAATTAGTTTAAAAGAGGATAAATTATTTTATATTCCAATTTTGTTGCAAACGTAACAGCATTGACCAAAATCTGCATAATATCCACGAAAAAGGACCACAGATTTGTCGTTTTGGGAAAAGATTGGATTAAAAACTTACTCTCACCACAATTGCGGCCGCCAAGTCGTGTTTGACCTCGTTTGGCAGTACTTCTGGACACGGATCATTGGAATTGTTATTAATGTTATCTAGTTACATCCCAACCATAGCTTGGCCTAGCTACCCAATCTGGGAAATAATCAGATTATTAAAATTCCGAAGGCTTTCAAACTGAATTCGGGCGCGATTTGGCATATCCAAAGACCGTGTTTAATCATATTTCCAAACACCAAGAAGAGAGTTGAAAATACAACGCGTTGCGGGGTACTTTTGACGACATATGAGGGGTTTGGAAATGTGGTCAAGTACAGTCTTTCGTGTTTCATATATCCTTTCAATCGAAGCTAAAACCAAGGAGAAAACGGAGAAATAAAGTCGTAAAAAATCTATGCTTATCAAGATCAGATATCCAACACCGTCACGGTCATGATTTTTTTGAGTTTGAGAATAATGTTCACGTCGGATGAATGTGTTCCAGTAAAAGGGAAAGGCGTGTTGAAACACGTTCATACATTCATACTGATAACTCCAATACAGGTCATAAAAGCATACAAAACGATTATTTTATGACAGACGGGGCAAAACATAATTGCCATCTTCTTTCTTTCGTATTCTTGTCAACTGTATGCTCTTTTTTCTAAGATGGCAGGATTCCACTTTTTTGCTTCATTAATTTTCTATTATTTTGCTATAATTTGATATTCTCTCATTACTGATTCATTTCTCGATCAATCAAACATCAGAGGGACTCTAATGCAGTTTGGTTATTTCCTGGGTAATTTTGAAAAATATTCATCGCAGGTTTCAAGCGACTTGAAACAATGTACATTGTGACAATGTATCAGTCATTTATAGTCATAAAAAAGGACAAACGAAATCCAAAACTGAGGGTTGCTATCGTAAAGGGCGTTCTTTTCATTAGGAGAACTTCAACAAAATAAAGTAGAGATCTCCGGGAATGCAACNCCCCCCCCCCATGGGGAATATGAAGTTTTCGAAATATTTTAGCACTATTAGTTACTATTATCCCTTAGGTACCTACCATTAACGTATTACACTGGTAAGCTACAGTCTGAGGTCCGAAACCTTACCTTTTAAATACCGTGGATAAATAAAGTCTTTTCGTATACCTACTTGCAGACACACTGTATCCTTTTTTGTTAGCTTATCCTGATTAAACAGCTGAATTACAGTTTTACCTACCTTTTTCTTAGACCTATTACAACACTTAAATTCGTTTAAACCTGAAAGACGAGAAGAACATAACAAAAGCCGCCTTTACAAGAGATGTGCAACTTTATAGGGGGTTGATTTGATGGCATCCGGCACCGTATTAAAGTAGAGTAGAGGGTGAAAGATATCTCCCACTGGAATAAATCTGAATTTTCAGACCCATGCTAATCGATATTGCATTGCTACAGATTTCAACACTTTCCACAAATTAATGTGTCCTGTAATATTGTATTAAGTACGTTTGTCCGCTTTGTTCTAATTTTTCTTTCATCTCAGTATAGTACGATGGTCCTCTATGCTGCCCAGTTTCCCATTTAAAGGTAGTTCTTTATGTGGCCCCATTAAACACCATTTTTTTTCCAGCAGCTTTCGTTTGTAAAACATAATTTCGTCGTAGGGACTCGCCCCCTCCCCCGCAAATCCCTACTACTTCATGAAAAATGAATGGTCCCTTATAAACGTTGTCCTGTTATCCCCAGCGCGCACGGATTTAAGCTAATAATAATTCTACACACTTCCTACTTGCATATTCCATCCTCCTATAAACCCTTACTTAAAACGCCAAACGCGAAATGCCAAACTAAGACATGAGTGCACTTCTTAAGGTTGTTTAACCCTTATGAAGTGAGGTTCAAAGACGTGGAGGCTCATCCTATGGTAGTTGACAGTTTTGCTTAAACTTGGGGCATTGCCTCTAAGCCCAGTAGCATGCAATTAGCCATTTTTATGTACCTTGTTCTAATTTTAATTTGTTGCAAAACATGTTAAAAGTATGCAGGTGTTCTACTGCCCAAGTTCTGTTCGCTGATTGTGTCGCGTGCCGACTGGTTATTTGGTATCGGATTATTTGTCAAGTAAGGTTCGTAATCGTAAAGGCTTTGATTCTAGTTTGGTCTACGTAGTTGGAGATCATCCCTTAATGCCACCATAATCCAAAGGCAATTTATTTTCCGGTGAAATATTGAGCTGATTAATGTCTCATCGCCATTGGACCGTCAAATATGACATGCATTTTATGCGCGTCATAATCAGAGAAGCTCTACTGTGGAGAAGTATCACCTTATCTTTTTTATTTTTTTATAGCAATAAATGCCATCCCACTTTTCTTAAGAAACTCCACTCTCTTTTAGTAGGTTCTTGCTTGGTTTTCGGGAGTGTAACTCAGTTTGCTTTGGCGTAAGAGAAGCATATGAACAAGTGCCGAGGGCACATAACACTTAGAGGCTCAGGGGACTAGATAAACTGTTTACTATGCTCACCATCTCGTGAGACAAGTGTCAAAAGTAAGCATAAGATGCGCGTAAAATTTACGGTATTTCAAGTGCTTACAACAATATTTCCGAGGACTAACTGACTTGAAACTCACGGCGTTTAAAGTATAAACTTGAAAAGTTACTTTACAATATTGCTTCTCTCACACGAACTTTCCTGGATCCTCCTGATTAGTCTACTTTGCATGAACGCAGGCTTCCGTTCTTACCGTTTCCTGTGGGGTTGGAATGTTTCCTCCTATGTGGATTAGCAGTATTGACAGGCCAGTCAATGATTCTTCTGCCTTTAAAGGACGTGCTGGTATCCGGCAGGGAACGATTCCTAAAACAAACTCCATCAACTAGGTTTGAGGGAGGAAATCACATAGATGTCACGGTGTAATAATAATGTTTGAGAACTGCATTTGCCTGCGCTAATCAAATGGAGGACAGATACCTCTCCTCTGGCATTTCCTTCTCTCTCTTTGCCCCCACCCCCCTGCTAGTTGCGACACATTTCTTCAACGGGAAACTTTTCATTGGCACTTGATAAGTTGAAAGAAGAGGCCCTTCACGCCCTTTTCAGTCTCAGAAAACACACAAATCTCAGCAAATTACCCCCATTCCAAGCGAATAGAATTTTCGACGCAATTATCTCCCCAATTTTGGCACATAATAGTGAAGTCTGGGGTGCATATGCAAAACCTGATCTCAAGTCTTGGGACACTTCCCAGATCGAAAAAACCCATCTCCAATTCTGTAAACTTATTTAGAAGTAAGCAATAAGGCACCCAGTGTAGCATGTGGAGCTGAACTTGGTAGGTTTCCTCTCATTGTAGCTATCAATCAGAAAATAATCAATTACTCCCATCTTTAAATTAAGAACCGTGGCTATATCGCTAAACAAATCTTTCTCATGTCAGAAGATCTTCATCACGCTGGTAAATATAGTTGCTATTGTAATGTAATAAGTATGTCTGAGTTTTACAATTTACGCTAAAATCAAACATTGTGCTATATATTTATATTGAATATTTTATACTGGCAACATACCATGCAATACTGTAATAAACTATAATATTTCAAGTCTTTTAAGAACGATTATACATCTTCTTATTTAAGCCTAACAGGTAAGCTAAGCGAACGAAAAGAGCTAGTGAAATTTGGAATAGGCAATCACAAACTAAAGATTGATCTATCCGACTTTGAAAAAGTTTTTTCTGTTACAAGCCATCGGCGAACTTATGACTTCTACAAATCATTACGTTAATATTCAATTAACAAAATTCAGTTCCTCATTGATTTGATCTACGCAATATTCTTCTTTAAATCAAACCAATGTAACTTGATTGCTACATCATAACCTTTTTACATCATAAGCTTTTGTAACACTGTGTGTATTTATGGTCATGCAAACAGAGCTATATTTGTTCTTGTTGTTGTTCTAAGTTATCCACGCAGCCATATAGCAACAAGACGTGTTTCAAAACATCCATCCCCTTATTTCTTTTCATATTGAGTCATGTTGCAGCGTTACTGTCAGAGCTGGCTATATTTACTCCATCTCATGACTGTCCCGACTATTACAGCCCAGTTATCAGGTTAGTAAAGCGCAGGTATCATAGACAAGAAAAGATAAAATGACCTCACAAGTATGAGGTAACTGCAACTCAATAATGTCGTTCAAATGTGACTTTTTTCTGCAGAAACGAAATCAGAACAAAACTGACAACACAAACAAAATCCTTTTGGAATCAATAACGATATGGACAAAGATTTGCAAAAGGGGACATGTTTCTTTTTGGGGAACGTGTTTATGTGACCTAATTATCGATCGTTAATTAGGCACCAGTATAAAGAGTGTAATGGC